TTGTCCAAGTAATGAATGTATTTTATTCCTTATTTTATGTATATAGGAGACAGAGACAGTTTAGAGAAGAAAGTGTCCACATATGCTACATGTTGCCTGGGAACTCTTGAGCTCTTGAAAGAAAATGCATCACGATTCCTGCCTCTCTGCTCCACCCCACTTCTTTGTTCTGTGCATATCAGTCAATCAAAAAATAAGATGAAAAATAAAGAAATAAAACTAAATAAAGAATCTAATTCAGAATAAGAAATAAAACAAAGAACAAGGTCACTTCTGGACTTTAGTTCTACTGCTTGTTACTCATCTTTACTGGAGAAGGGATGAATTATCTTAACAAAAGAGGGAACTGGCACACAAGGCTCAGACCTTTCTGGAGTTTTTTGTGGGAGGATTTTCCTGCTTGCAGAAAGGAGGCATTTAGGTTTGGTCTATTCTTTCAGCCATGTGGTAAAAGGCTTAGCAGGCCTACTTGCTAAAATGAAAATTTTAATATAAACCATTTTCTTCAAAGGTCCCTAGTGCTTCAAGATAAAAACCCAAACAATTCTTCCAGGTGTACAAGGCCTTACATGGTCTGGTCTTTGCCTCTTTGGTCATTATCATTTCTGGATCCCTGTCCCCCATTTCCACACAAAGTAGGTTTCCAAATTGACCAGGCTTCCTCCTACCTAATGGATTTTGCCCAAGCTGTTCCTCTGCCTAGACTCTCGCTTTCTCATTTTTTGAGCTGGCTAATTTGTACTCATATTTTAAACTCAGATCAGGTTTCATCTCCTCTATGAACGCTTTGACATGGACCAGAAGTGGGAGAGGAGCCGTCTCTGTGAATACCTCAAATGTGATAGGTACAACACTGCTTTCTAATTATCTGATTACTTGCCTGGTCCCTAATAGATGTGAGCATAGACTGCATTCTTTAAAATCACTGTACCCTAGAGACTAATACATTATTCCCCCATAAAAAATACTTAATAAATGCTAAACTATGAAAGAAAAAAAGTGAATCTATGCCTAGAACTTAGAAGAACAGATATTAAAGAAATATAGTTATAGACATATAGTTTAGACATATAGTTGCATTGACTTTTAAAATTTATTTATTTTTATACTTATAAAAATCGACTAGTATTGGCTTCCAATTTTTACTTTATTAAGCCTTTTTTTAAAAAATTCCGATCTCATATCACCATCATTCCCTAAAAGAAAGAATAGTTGCATCAAAAACACAGGAGGCACGTTATTTAAGAATTAAAGACTGGGCTTCCCTGGTGGTGCAGTGGTTGAGAGTCCGTCTGCCAATGCAGGGGACACGGGTTCGTGCTCCGGTCCGGGAAGACCCCACATGCCGCGGAGCGGCTGGGCCCGTGAGCCATGGCCGCTGAGCCTGCGCGTCCGGAGCCTGTGCTCCGCAACAGGAGAGGCCACGACAGTGAGAGGCCCGTGTACCGAAAAAAAAAAAAAAAAAAAAATTAAAGACTATCTTGTAAATCACCAAACATGGGGACAGATTCAGCAGAGCACTACAGACTGGCCTAGGACCATGACCTCACATCATAGCAGTCTTTGGCAGCCTTTGACTTACATTCTCTTCTTCAAGTGTAACTTCTCCCTGAGCCCTTTACAGGGCAAAACACAGACAATTAATTAGAGGGAGTACTTTGTGAGATTGTCTAGAGAATAAACTAGGATCCTCTGTTGTTGATTGAGGATAGATCCACAGGCTTTGGTAACCAGAGGAAACAGTGGTAGGTTTGACAATCTCTTATGAAAAGTGAGCATATTCTTTAATCCTCACACCCCGTCATTCCCTTCCTAACCACCATTTACACCGCATCACTCACCCTGAGTTGGCAGCTCTGCCATGCCCAGAATGAAACATGAACCTGCTCCTCTTTCCACCAGCTTTATCCCAGGCTAAATGTATCCATGAGTCCTTAGCCTCTGGCTCAGTGTCAAGAGCAAAGCAGCCCTGAGACCACACCCAGAGAGAGCACAGTTGCCCTGAGGTTATGGGTCTGGAAAGTGAAAGGGAATCTTTTCAGGAGGTTTAGGGTTCCTTTGCAGGAGCTTACTCACTTTGAAGGAAATCTTTATAATTGTTTTCTGTTAGATTTAGAAGAAGTTTAAAGGCTGTCAGTGAGGTCGGCAGAGATGAAAAAAATGCACATCAAGAAGGATGAGGAGCTGGGATGCTGTAGAGGGGGTTCTTGACGACTGACACTTAAGGGCACTCTGGGCCGTGGAAGGGCTGTTGGTTTACTCTGAGGGTCTACTACTGAGAGCTCCTCTTTGTCTTCTGCTGTTGGTTTGAGTAACATGGAAAAGTTTGCAGTTAGTAAATTGTGGCTGCCGTGCGTAACAGGAAATACTTTCGAGGAGTTTTTTCTTTTTTTAATCAGAGACTGAGACTTATGCAAAATATTAAGCAGAACACGGTTATTAGGTGTTTAATTAACACTTCTAAATATATTTTTAAATAAAATTTTAGAAAATAAAGGGATGCAATTCCTTTGCATCTCTGATCCCACCCTCAATCTTTTCAATTTTTTTTTTTTTCAGTACGCGGGCCTCTCACTGTTGTGGCTTTTCCCGCTGCGGAGCACAGGCTCCGGATGCGCAGGCTCAGCGGCCATGGCTCACGGGCCCAGCCGCTCCGCGGCATGTGGGATCTTCCCGGACCGGGGCACAAACCCGTGTCCCCTGCATCGGCAGGCAGACTCTCAACCACTGCGCCACCAGGGAAGCCCTCAATATTTCATTTTTAAAGAGATTTATAGTCCATGTTATTTTCAAAACAAAGTACAGAGGCAAAAAGTTTTGTAAGTGAATCAAGAATCATGATATACATCATTAAAAAGAAAGGAAAGCACAAGAGATGAGTTAAGCACTGGATTTATTTCTAAATTGAAGGCAACAGCGTAAAAAAAAAAACCCTATTTTTGTTACCTTGACATTATGTAACAACCAAAGAAAATATGCAAAATCATTCCCAGGGACAAATTTTTCTCCTGCAATTATACTCCAGTAGGATCTTATTTCATTGGTGCACATATAGGGACCCTGGAGTAACAGAGTTGGCACTGGGTATAATTTATAGAAAATCTATTTTAAAAGACTTATTATATGAATACTCCGTAAAGGTTGCGGCTTAACATTAAATTAAAACTCATGGAAAGCATTTCAAGTTGGGAAAGGATCTGAGACAACAGGGTCCAAATAAATGCCACGGGACTGACAGCACATGCCTCCCACTAGCAGGTGTTGGGGGGTCAGTCAGCTAATGACTGAATTCTCCAACAAGTACTTGTAGGACAAAAAATTCTGTTCTTAATTTAGAGTCACATGCTCAGGCCCAGCCCTAGACTCAAAGATCCGGAATCTCTAGGGGCAATCAGAGGCCAGGAACCTAGGTATATTCTTCATAAAGCTCTACTGGCAATTCTCAGGCTAGACATAGTTGCGCAGGCCTGTTTTAGGTCAGAGTTTGGTTTAGAGAGCTGTTAGTTCAATTTAGCCTAGTCGTTTCTTAAAGTGCCTCTACGGGTGGGGTCTACACTACTGGTTAGAGAAGCGGTGAGCCCAGAAGAAAGCACAACTATGGAAAACTCTACCAATACCTGGTTTTCATGTTGTTTCCTCCAACATCTTTGGTCATTGTTTTAACAATCACTGTGGAACACATTACCTTAAAAACCTGTTGAAAAGATTCCACATTTGGAGAATGTCTTCAGGGGAGATACCCCTGTTCATCTCCTTCTATGGTCCTCCTTCAATTACTCAATTGGGAAAGAGATCCATGTTGTACCTCTCAAGTAAAATTTTAAGCTCCAGAATTATGTTTTCATAGAGAAAGCCAACCAGCAGATGATAGGCAAGCGATAAAGCAACTATTGTCCTCCAAGCACTTCTATGTGTGCTTGACTGACTTCAAAATCCATTATTGTACCATACAAGGTACAATTTAATTCTGAAATTTGTAACTTGGACTTTGCAGCTCATTGCTTATCCTTTATCCCCCTCCGGACTACTCGCTCATACCTCATCTATGTCTATTTGTGATCTTTTCCCTTATCTCCAACAAAGTTCTCCTTTAAAGTTTCCCTTAAATTTGATTCTTATTAACCCAGATATTCCAGTTAATTCCAGATATCATCTGTATAAATGTTACCAAGAATATGGATAAAGGAGGAGTTGGAAAAGGACATGCTACATAAAATGTGATTTATTCCATATCTCGCATATTTATAGGATTGGTTTTTAAAAAGGCAGATCTGCCTCAACTTACGGAACAGAAATTAAACAGCAAAATTTCATTTGACATTGAGATTCGATCTGTCAATGTACCCAGGCATGAGGAGTGTTTCATAACCTCTACAAGAATGTAAGTCATACTCTGAATCTGTAAGGCTTGAGAATAGACAAGTCCCTTTCAAATGCATTGTCTCGTTGAATCATTACAACAACCCTGAGGGAGAGAGTATAGTCCCCATTGGAGCAGATGAGGAAGTTGAAGCCCAGAGGAGTGCAGCAGTTTGCCCAGTGTCACCCAGCTTGTGAGTGACAAGGCCAGGCTTTAGGAATGGGTTTCAAATCCACCCCAGCCATCAATCACCACCACATGGTGGAAAGAATGTTAAAGGCGAAGAAATAGTTTCCTAGAATAAAGTTACAGCAGTCTGTACATCCTTCTGCAGCTGATAACTGGGGCATCAACTTCCTTTGAAATTCAGGACCCTAAATAAACAGCTTCTCTATGGAAGGTACAAAAGACTTAGTGCTGTAATTTATGATGTGGATCCTGATCTATGATTAGATTTCACAGGACCTGGAACATCAGATATAAAATCTCTTTGTCAATACAGAAAATTGCTAGTTTTTTCGTATCTTTACAATAACTATTTCTTATTAAAAAGAAAAATGCAATAGGCCATCTTCCATCTATAATAAGTTTGATAAGATCACCATATTTAAAAATCCATACTTAAGGTAAGTCTGCTTACCCCTCCTTCATGTCATTGATGGGAAGCGGAACCCTGCCGCCCCTGTCTAGAGCTGACGTGATGTTTATGGCGTTCAGACGCTCTGGCTGCCACACATTTTTCACGGCCCCAAGAAAGTCTCCGAGAACCTCGCTGGCCAACATTTCTTCTACGTTCATATTTTTAATGAAGAATTCTGCTTGATACGGTAACGGGAAGTCTAATTTTGGTGAAAAAGGGTATGCATATCTTTAATGAAGTAGTCTTTTGAAAGGGAAACAAAAGAACCATTTGAGATTTGTTGATTTCTGTCACAATCCTGGATTCCGGGAACGATATTATTACTGACTTTAAAGGCTTTCTATATAACAGAGGATATATCTAAAAACACGACGTACATTAGACCCAGAACTTTATCTACAATGCAGTCAAATCTAAGGGACAGCAGGGCAATTCACAATTAGAGAAAAAAAATAAAAAGGACAAGAAAAAAATGTCAAATCTCAAATCTGTCGCTAACTTGCCAGCGACCTGCCGGCCTCCTTGTCCTGTCAATGTACTCAGGTAGAAGGAGCATTTCCAGAACTTAGAAAAGTATTTTGTACTTGTAGTGTTTTCAAGCTGACAGATCTTCAAATACATTGTTTAATTTAATCGTTACAATCCTAGGTAGTGCTATTTCCCATTTGAACAAAGGAGGAGGCTGAACACAGCACCATCCTTTCTAAATAGAGAAGACATGGCAAAATATCTATACTTGCTTGTGGGTTGCTTATATATGATATGGAAAACCATATTTTTAATTTGCAGTGTTACTGATCTTTTTAGAGCATGCTAAAACATCACATTTTACTAAAATAAATATTGACTGTATTTTCAACAAGAACTTTGAAATCATAGCTATTTCATTTTTTGGATCACTCCATAATTAAATATTCTAGAGAAATAATATTTTAAATTTCTCATGAAATTCCATACCTCACATTGTTAGAGATTGAGTTCGCTTTTTCCCTCCCCAATGTCTCATCAGTAATTTCCCTCTAAAGATGCCAAAATGAATATTTTAAACCAACCCAATGTCCCATTCAGACTCTCAATATAAGAAACTTTAAATAAATATAATTTATTTCAGCTTCTCAAATGTTACTCTTCAATTACAAACTATCATTTCCTGTGTTCTGGTTGTTCTGTTAAGACAAAGGATAGCTTTCTTTTTGTTTAGTAATATTTCTGTAAGAATAAAGGCTACTTTTTAATACTTACTACAAGGCAGGCCAAGCTAAGGGAAAGAGGTGAATTACCGTATTTAACACTCACAAGCAGAAGGTAAGCAGGTACTTGTATTTTTCTCCATAGGTTCAGAAAGGGAAGCTGATCTTTCGATCATTTGAATTTACCTCATATGATTTTCATCTAAGCTAAGAGACTGTATATATAAAGTGCTCAATGGAGCTCCCAATATAGAGTAAGAACTGAGAAAATGGTAAACTTTAGCAATTCTTACAATAACATGCACAAGTTAATTACTTGGATTCTGCACTTTACTTAAAAGGAAAAAAAATACGTCTGGACTATACACGGATTTAAAGTCCCCAACAATAATTATATTATGTATATCCTCTGACTTATTTCATTAAAACTCACGTACTATATGTTCTTATTTCTTATACTATTTTTATCTCATGTACTATTCCATTCTTATTTAATAAGCAAAAAACTAAAATTATGCGACAAATAACTGAAACCTCGATGACTTCATTTATTATCAAGCCTCTTTAATATTAAAGGACAGTTGATGCCAGAGATGAAATCAAGGAGATATTCTGGCTTTCGAGTTTTCAGGAGAGTCTTCTGGAGTGTGGTGTCTCTCCCTAAAGACTAAGTCTTTCAAAGCCCTAATCACAGAAGGCTCTTCACTCATCCCCTACCCTGTAATTTATTCTGCTTATGATTTTGTTAGATTTGTTTGATGTATAGCCCATCTGCAATCTTCTAAAATATGCTATGTTTATTCTCTTTTATGTAGATAAGTTTCCTGTTTTATACTGATACGTTTCCTGTTTTATACAGATAAACAGGAGCTTAATCATGCTACATTTTTCCCCATACTGAGAAAAAGTCATGCAGAAAAATGTCATGAAGAACAGTTTCTTGGCAATAAATAATATTTATAAATAATACCAAGTATAGTTTTGGGGTATGCTAGAAGTCTATCATCTATTAATTTCATTCAGTGAAATTTTTCTAAAAAAGCGTGCAAAACCTTTTCCTCATTATCAGTGCTACTCCTTGGAGAACTGTTACTTGGCTTTCCCTAATCCATGTGACCCTCCGTGGCTCCTTTCTGAGACTTGCGGCCGCCACGCCCTCCGAGGCCCCAGGCTGTGCAGCTGCCTGCCGTCTACCCGGCCAAGTGCTGCTGCCAGGCCTCCCAGAGATGAGTCACAGTAGCTTTCTAACTTTGGGGAAATCCCGTGCCTGCTATATTTGGATATCACGGAGGCCAAGGGAACAGTAGCCAACAGATTGGTGGCAGGCCTCTGAGGCACTAAACCCAATTTAGAGAATCACTCTATGTACTCTCCTTGAGCTCCATGCTGTACGATTCTACATGACTAATTTCCCATTAGGTCTCCCAGAGCAGGAGACTGCTGGGCAGGGAGTTGCACCGAGCATGGTTATCCGGATATTCAACCCTTGTTACTTCTTTCCTAACCTATCCGGGAGAAACGGCATGTGTACAGGCCATGCTCAAAGATGTACGTCCTAGTGTCCACATGCATTCCATCGAGACAAGCAAGGAAAAATGCCTGCCATTTGGTGCACTGATTTTCAGAGTTTGGGCCACTGACCCTTATGTAAAAGGAGGCTTTCAAAACCCACGTACTCGTGCTCCCTCAACCCTAATTTAAATAAGTAGCCCCTAATGCCAACTTTCAATCCTTCAGTCACCTAACAGTCTTACATTAGTATCTGCTTGAACATGGGTCCCCACATGTGTACTATGTATTGAGTACATGTGTGTGGACCCATGTACTCTGTATTGACAGGACTGAGACCAGACTTGAGAAGGAGGAGATTCAAAACTGTAGACCAGGCTATCTTTCAGTTTGTAGGGGCTCCCATACCTGACAAAGGGTTTTGAGTCCCTCTGAGAGCATAATAGTGAGGTTAGTGGTCCAAGCCCACTGCAATGGAAGTATATAACTAAACTGCTGGATTCCCAAGGAGAAAGGGAACTTCGCAACCATTCTGCTCATTAAAGGTATTCCAAATTCTACAAGGACAGCTTGGACTGGATGCAAGTATCCAATTACAATTGGGAGTCAAGAATAAAAATCTCCTTGATCCAAACATGACTACCTTTCAAAAGCCCTTGGGAAGTAGAAAAGTGGGTAAAGAGTCTTCTGTCCAGGCCAAAGGAACTGGTACTTGGACTTTCTTTTCATATATGAAGGTCATTTTAAATTTTAAACTAGCACATTTGTTGCCTGCAATTATTACAGCTAAAATGCCTGGGAAAAAAACTCATGCTAAGGGTTTCAAAAACTTCCAGCAATCTTCTCCCCAATTATGTACTGCATTATCAATTCTATCGAAATTGCTTTCTTTCATATACCGTAAAGGTAATTTTTAACTCAGCCTTCACTGAATTATTATGAATTCCAAATTAGTAGGCTCTGATAAAATGTGTTGTGTTTGCTTATTTGTTTTCAATCATACTAGTAAATAGAAGTAAGAATTTTCCTATCCAGGATGCACAACTGTTTTACTGTTTTGGGGGGGAAAATGCTATATCAGTTCTTCTCCTGTCACCCTCATAAATGATATCTGGTATAGTATCCCATGATTTATAAACTTTAACCACAAAGTGTTTAGTGGTATGTATTTTTCCCATTGAATGCCAAAACAGGATCAGAATATTTGAGAGTGTAATTCTTGGAATCTCTCCTGTGTCCCTAACCTTCTAAATCCTTAGGCATCACTTACAATTCAAGCATGTGTAACAATAAATTGTTGTTGGACTCCAGCAATTACAGATGCATGATTAGCTATTTAGAAAGGAGACTGTGACCAAAATTATGGTTTATTTCTGTCCATCAACAACTCTTTATTATCATATACAACCAAACTACCACCGATGATAGGTTTGAAAGTAAAATAATACCAATCATGCATTCTATGATCAGCCCTATGTCAAGCACATTTTGAGACTTAAATGATGGCATCCTTACCTCAGACTTAGGAGAGAAATAGTATTCTTAGTCTCACTTTACAGATGATTTAACCAAGGCCTGGAGAAAATAAGTGGCCTCTACATTTGGTTCCCTACCCTGAGGTTTTCAGCACCAAAACACATCATGATATTTTATAATGAATTAAATATTGCTTAGTTTTCTACATTTTACTGTTTCATTAGTTATAGTAGGTATGTGGTCCTTTAAAATCCTTAACTATGTTTTGCATACATATAAAATATAATGAAATACTTCTTGCAAATAAGGAAACAATCAGCAACATATTTTTCCATACCTACCTTCTGCTGACATTATATTAATTATCAAATTATGCCTTGCAGTCTCAAAGGTACGCCTATTGTAGGCAGTTATCTATTAGAAAAAGAAAGTCATATTAAAGAAGTAAAATGTTATTCGGAAAACGAAATTCATTAAGGACAAAATGAAAACAAATTGTCGTTCTTTCCATTTTCATTATTTGTTTATGTACTTACAAAATATTCCTTCTCTGGACAAGAATCCAGAGCTTTTAGCAATATTGTGGGAAAATAGATAATTAGGTATATTTAACATGCTAAAACAAGTTAAAATCAGAAAAACCCTTTTATAGAAGACTGTTAAGTGCCAGTAGCAATGCAGATGCATCATTAGTAAATGGATTAACCATTACGAATTACTTACCAGAGCTGTTCTAAAATTTCAAAAAAGCCAAAACAATATATTGGTGTACTTTTAAATGGAGCTTAAGGATCATACCAGAAAGTACACTTTAAAACAAGCACATCTCTGTGTTGTTTGCATTCAGTACTAAACTGCACACCAACCAGTCAAGAAATGTCACGAACCCTTTGGAAATCACATCTCACAATGGGAGTAGAGCAGTAAGGATCACAGTCTAAGAAGATGATGGCAAATGCTCAAAAACACAAATCAATCCCTTCACAGAGTCAAATATTAGTGAATGTTTGCAGAGCCAATGAACTTACATCAAAGTCAATTCAGAAACAGCCACTGCAAACAACAAACAAAGCAAAGGCCAACAACAGGATATGGCTTCAAAAATCAAGGAATAATTAACTTTATAACAGATATTAAATCACTCAGACAGGCCTGCAGTACCTCAAAAAAACCCCAAATGATTGTGTAAAAGTCTTAGCATCCCAGCACTAGCCTTCTGGCAGTAACTGCAGCTGTAGTTGACACTGAGACAAAAAAGACAAAACTGACGCAAACTGAAAAGAAATATCTTGCATATTTAAAAACAAGTATCAAAGATTTTAATAGCATCACATATGAGCTTTAAATAAAATACATTACACTCATCAGAAATATTATTTGAGAGAACAGTGAAAATCAGAAGTTTGGAATAGAAAATTCCAAACCTTTAACAATATTTCAAAGTACATATTCTGAATCGTGTCTTATTCCACAAAGATAAAAGCACTTATCTCTCCACAATTTGTCAAATTTCTTTTGGATTTAATGATTTCTTTGCTGCTCTCTATAGGGACACATGATCAATTAGGTTCACACTGAACACTAAAATTAAGACTAGTCATTAAAATTAACGAGGCATTATTGTTCACAAGCAAATGAAGAAATGCAAAAACATTTGGGAATCCTCATGATTTTAAAAGTTTACCCTGCAAAAAATTTAATAATATTCTCAGTGGAAAAAAAATACTAGATACTATTTGTTATAATATCTCAAAGCTAATGCTAGAAAAAAAGATTAAACATTTTCAGATTAATGGCAATATTTTTCTGGCTAGCCTACCCATAATTATCACAAATTTCATTACTGTAAATTTCATAAATTCTAATAAGTGTTTTTAAATCAGAGGCTACACAAGAGAGTGAAGAACCTTTCATGAATCCGGAGGAAGAATTTTATTACCTGAATTTATATTTAATGCTTAATTTTAACAGCTGTAACAGAATGCAATTCTTCTATGACTTCTAATGAGATATTTAAATACTGTAATATTCTCAGTCAAATTCTACTTATCATGATGATGTGAAGCCCTTCATAGCAAAGAGGTATGCATATTTGTGAACTTTCTGATCCCCTATTTCTAAAATAGTGGCTGATCTATTTTAGATGCTTAATAAGTAGCTACTGAATAAATTAATTAGTGGATGTATATGATTAAATATTAGTTTAAGATATGCAAAATCTTTTGGCTATATTATTAATAGAATATTTTTAAACACTGAAAATATGTTATTATATATGGATGTAGAAATGAGTTATTTACAGATAAATCAATACTGTGTTAGATGAAAGATATGCTAAGTTTTCATAATCTTCTTAAAAAATTTATTTATTTATTTATTGGCTGCATTGGGTCTTTGTTGCTGTGCTTAGGCTTTCTCTAGTTGTGGCGAGCGGGGGCTACTCTTCGTTGCGGTGCGTGGGCTTCTCATTGCGGTGGCTTCTCTTGTTGTGGAGCACGGGCTCTAGGTGCACGGGCTTCAGTAGTTCTGGCCGTGGGCTCTAGAGCTCGGGCTCAGTAGTTGTGGTGCACGGGCTTAGTTGCTCCGCGGCATGTGGGATCTTCCTGGACCAGGGCTCGAACCCGTGTCCCCTGCACTGGCAGGCAGATTCTCAACCACTGCGCCATCAGGGAAGCCCTCATCATTTTTTTGGATATTATTTGATACATATTCATAACGTCGTATGTTGGTAGTAAGGTGTAATGCAACCTGTGAATCCTGGTTCAACACGTGTTTCTCTCCTACCCTAGCCTCTCGCTTCTCTCCAACCAGAGTAAACATTTTGGATTTTGTGTTTATCATCCCATCCATTTTAAATATAGTTTTATTATCCATGCATGTATGCTTAAAACATATTGTCCATTTTTCTGGGTTTTGAGCGCCTATAAAAATAGTAAACTGTATGCAGTCTTCTGGGGTTTGTTTGGTTTTTTTCAACATTACGTTAAAAACATTCATTCATGTTGCCAGGCAAGCTTAAGTTCATTGCTGCTATAAATGTTCACTGTGCGAATACCCCACAATTTATCTATTCTCTTGCTGCTGGACTTCTGGATCTCAACTGGTTTGTGGGTTTCCAGTGTTTTCCTATACACACATTGCTCAGTGAACATGACTGTGCATGCCTTTGGGTGGACATTTGCAAGTGTTTCTTTTTCTTTTTTTTTGGCCATGCTGCGTGGCTTGCAGGATGCTAGTTCCCCGACCAGGGACTGAACCCAGGCCACAGCAGTGAAAGCACCAAGTCTTAACCACTGGACCGTAAGGGAATTCCCTGCAATTGTTTAAGTGCATATCTGGAAGTGGGACTGCTAGATCATAGGGTACAGTGATACTCAGCTATGTGAAATATTCCGTTTTCCAGCCCATATCCACTGCAATGACCTTTTACTGAGGATAAAATTATCACTGAGGTTCTAAATTGAATATTCCTCCTTACTGAGGAGAGTAAGTTTCTTTACTTAAATGGCATTGATGTCTCCTCTTTGGTGAAATGTCTGTTCATGTCTTTTTCTCATTGAAATTGTAGGAGTCGTTTTTTATATTTGACACACTTATCATTAGTCGGCTATATGTATTTAAAATATCACCTTCCAGCTTGTGGGTTGTCTTTTCTTTAATGTTTTCTTTCGATGAACAGAAGTTCACAAGTTTAATATGGTAAAATTTATCAATCTTTTCTCTTAAATAAAAAAATTTAGGTGTTATTTAAGATATCTTTCCCTCCCCCAAACTCAGAAAGAAACTCCTCTACAGTTTTATATAATAGTTTAAATTTTTGCTAAATCCTTAATCTACCTAGACATGAGTTTTGTATTTCCTGTGAAGTAAGAATCTAATTTTATGTTTGCCATATGCTGAGCACCAGTCAATAAATTGACCTCCTTTTCCCTAATCTGTGATCTCTGGCACCATCTCTTTAGACATATATCATTGTTCTTTATGTAGATGGATCTGTCTCTGGGCTCCCTATTTTATTCATTGGTTAATTTGTCTATCCCTGTATCAATACAAACTTATGAATGATTACTACATATTTACAATAAATCTTGCTATCTGGAAAGGAAAGAAATCTTTCCCCTTTTTATTCTTCTTTAAGCATGTCTTGATTTTGCTTTATTATCTTCTTTATAAATTTTAGAATTAGTTGCCAAGTTCCATGAAATAACATACTGAGATTTTTTTATTGGAACTGCATTGAATCTATAGATCAATTAGGGGGACAGTGATGCTTTCATGATTTTCAGTCCTCCTATCCCTGAATGAACTATCTTTTCATTTATATAGGCATTCTTTAATATCAACAAAGTTTTATAATTTTTCCCATACAGAACTTGCATACCTTCTGTTAGATTTATTCCAAGTACATTATAATTTTGTTGCTACTAAAAAAATGGTATCTTTTAAAAACATGTATTTTTCTCAGTACTTGTATTTAATGAATAAATATAACTAAATTTTTAATATTGATCCCATAGCTTACTGCTAGGCTTTCTGAAGATTTTAATAGCCTATAGACTCTTTATATCATTGACTATTCCATTTCTTCCTTTCGAATAGTTATAAATTTCTTTTTCTTTCTTTACCGCACTGGATAGGACTTCTAATATATTCTGTAATAGATGTGATACAGGGGGTCATTCTTGTTTTGTTCCTGAATTTAAATGGCATTCCTCTAGTGTTTTCCCATTAAAAAATGATGTTTGCTATTATTTTTGATAAATAACCTATTAGGTTAAGGAAGTTCACTTATATTCCTAGTTTGCTAAGAGTTATTTTTTTCTTATCAAGAATAGGTGTTGAATTTTATTACATGCTTTCTCTGAATCTTCAAGGTGATTGTGTTTTTCTTTTTTAATCTAGCAAGGTGGTGACTTACATTTATATATTTCTATTATAACTTTACTGAATATTTTAAAAATTATTTTGACAATAACTCCAAATAACTTTCTTTCTTATATCTACATATATTTCTATCAACATTGCCTTAAGAAAGCAAATTTATAGATAGAAATCACTGAAATGTCATGTTAATACAAACTTCCGTTCAAATGAAGAAACACCTTCTCTCAGCCAGCATGGAAGCTCATATCCAGAGTCCACGGCTGATTAAAACTTTGGAGAACAACTCAAAGCATGTAATCTCCTGAGAATCTACAGAAATTCTACAAATTTTCGGTGGTAGAAAACATGCCACGCAGGACATATGCAAACTCCGGGCAATTCCACTAGCAGTTCCTATGCTGGTGCCCTGGTCACTACCAGTAAGCTTTTATGGAATTGAAGAGTTAAATTCCAGTTTAAGATCCTAGAGGCATCTAGGCATAAAACTATAGTAGGCCTCTCCTGCCGTTAATGGCCATTATAATTCTGATTTTGTTAGGTATAGTAAAGAGTGAAACACCTTTAGCTTTTACATCCATTCATTAAAAAAAAAATTAATTCCCATTAAAGGTTTGATGTCATCACTGTCTTTGTTTCAATTTCTAATATCTTCCAGGTATGATATTAGGTACTGGTAAAAATCTGATTAATTATAGCACCATCATCACTCCCAAAGTAAAGGTCAAACATATCCGCATGGCTTACAGAGCCCTCAAAGATCTGCTCCTACCAACATCAACACTTCCATTCCCATCATTTGCCCTCTGGAGTGCATCCTGTCCTCTAGCCACACTTGTAGTTCTCTAAGGCTATGTGGGTTATGTTTATGCCTCCAAGATTTTGATGTGCTGCATCTTCTGCCTAAAATAGACTTCCTTCTACTTAGTGAATTTCTATTTACCCTCTTATAACTCTGCATCAAACAGCCCCTTCTTATTATAACAGTTATGTCAGTGCTGGCTAAGTTTGGGTTTCCATTCAGTGCTTCAACCCCTGAACTGTAAGACATGGCAGAGCACAGCTACTATTCATCTTTCTACCACGGACACCTATCATAATGTTCAGCACATGGTAGGAGCTCAAAAGACGTCTCCTTAATGACTGAATGAACATGAAATCTGAAATTAAAATTTGGAGAAAATAAGTGTTTTAAGTTTTTGTTCATTTTATTAAATAGAATTCACCTTTTAAATACCTTTTAATTTTTTTCACTAATTTAGATGACGCTTTTTTACATAAAAGCTGAAACAAAAAACTCTGTAGATGAACAGAAAGGAATGGTACATTTGCAAATGTTATCTAATGTGTTTTCATGCATAAAATACTGAAAACCACTGCCATGTAATTTTAATCACAACATTTGAAACTCAAATTACAAAAAAATCAAGAATATAATTTTGCTCTTTCTAAGTAAATTACCTCAATGACTGTTGGTTTCCCCACATTTTCAGCCGTTGGAGACCCATATAGGACTCCATCACTATATGGTGTCCTTTGGATATACCGAAGCCATCCAGGCCGGTCTGGGTAACCCATTAAATTTGTGTTAAATGTTATGGGATCATTACTAATCTCGCCTAGGTAAGAAACACAGAAGTAAGATATAAGACAGTTATTTTCACATGTTGCTTTGATTGTTTCAATAAAAATATGTCTGTCTAAAATTTTTTTTCTTAACATTTGTAGCAAATTAAATACACACCAAAAAAAAAATCCAGCTGGGAATTTACATTAGGGCCTCATGTAAGAAAAACATCCTTTTGGTTGTTTAGTTAGTCTAGAAATCTGATTCAACAAAGAAAGCATATTCACACAATTTGGGGGTAAATTTCCTTTTCTTTTTTGGGGGGAGGAGGTCACATAGCCGTGGAAAAGTTCTACCAATGAGACAACTATCTTTCAGGAAAATCCCCTAATCATGTTGATGTATTCCTTCTTCTGAGAAACCTTCCTTTCATGAAACTCTGAGCACTATCAAACTCATCTTAAGGGATATCTCAAAATTATAAAAGTGTCATCAAAACAAAAATAATGTAATTTAAAAACAATGGAGGATGAGTTGAAAAAATCCAAAAGAACTGCAGTAACATGACATTTATTAATAATAAATAATAATGGTGTCATTTTATTAGCATGTGCCTGGCCTCTACAGGCACTATTTCATCTGATTTTCAAACATACCAATGAAAGTAGTACTCTTATTAGCCCTAATTTTATTGATGAAATACGTAATTTTCCATGTTAATTCTTCATGGTCATATTAAGTGGTGAAACTAGAATTCTTTTTTTTTTTTCTTGCAGTACGCGGGCCTCTCACTGTTGTAGCCTCTCCCGTTGCGGAGCACAGGCTCCGGACGCGCAGGCTCAGCGGCCATGGCTCACGGGCACAGCCGCTCCGCGGCATGTGGGATCTTCCCGGACCGGGGCACGAACCCGTGTCCCCTGCATCGACAGGCGGACTCTCAACCACTGCGCCACCAGGGAAGACCCTGAAACTAGAATTTAATCTTGGCTGACTCCAGAAATATGCTCTTAACTACATTTTCTTCTCCAGTGTTGAAGCTGCTGCTCACAAGGTTTAGCTATATAGTTTTGCAAAAAGAGAATGCCCCTCACGAGAACACATTTTTTAAGTAATTGATGAAAAGACTGCCTTGTTTCTTGAATGCTGGTGAGAACATGCTTAACTATATTTTACGAGTGTTTTCAGGTATGCTATTCATCATATAATCCACAAAAATAATATTTATATTAATTCTAATGCTGGAATTTTCAGAAATTCATTTTTATTTGTTACTTAAGTTAAGAGTCATAATAACAATGTATTTTCTCTTGCTATTCTTTCTGTATCTTCGTTAATTTAATGGCATTTGTGACAATCCAACATAATTTAAACCGATAGTAAATTAAATAGGACTTCGTAACTGGTATTGCTTTGAAGAAAAATTAATCTCCATTATATGATTATGAAGTTATATAAAATTATCTCATATTGTAGAAGTTTTTTTGAGAACTCTTTCTTAATACCATATTTCAATCTCTTCTACAACATATGTATAGTTTTCCAAAAATCAATGTACTCTGTAAGATTCTTAAATCTTAATGTGTAAAATTGTAATTGTACATCTATAATTATTTCTCTGAGAATATAGGTAGATCATTTGTCAGAAGCACAAAACTCAAGACTAGGAAATCAGAAATACACTTTCTTTAAATTTCAAAAATGAGTTATTTCCTTCGGTAATTATATTTCTAATCTTAAAATGGGAAATATTCTATAACAATCAATTTATCACATATCCAGACCATGTCAAGTAATGTCAGTAATATTTGATCATATATCATCTAGATTATGCACATTGAACAAAAAGAAAAATTTAGTAAATTAACCACTTTTTTTCCCGCCAGAACATACCAGGTTTTGGGTAAGGTGGAAATTCCCCCTTAAAATACTCTCTTTCCAAAACATGTACAAAGAGGACACCTGCAGATGGGTAGACATTCCGATCAGAGTGCACCTTGGAGAAAATAGTGTACACTGAAAACAAAGAGGGAAGATAAGAGACAGAAAGACAAATAATGAGCTCTGCTTTTGAAAATTCACTTACACTGTAAAGAAGGGTTTCACTATGTAGAAATTTCTGAGAAAACTGAAGCAACATGCAAGATTGTTAAGAAGTTTGTTTTAAAGGGGAGTGGTTTTAGGACAAAGCATGGAACAACTCTCAACTTGCTGCGTTTATAGACTTTTCAAATATTATGTAAGCAGAATTAGGCATATTTAATATTTTAAATTATTATTAATTAATAAAGACATCCATGAAATCTCTTTTGTAATTTTTATGGAGATTATTACCAACAAAATACATCATGAGAACTGATCAGCTATATAATTGCTACAGTATATTTTTTCTTTTTCCTTTTTTCAAAGCAAAGTATAAAGAGTCATTTTTTTTTAAATGGTAACAATCTCCACCGTATTAACTGTTGGCCAGACAGAGCATATCGGACTACATAATACCATTGATATATGTAAGATGACTTTCATATATATTGATACTTATAAAAATGCATTGGATACTCTTTCTTTGAGTATTATTCCCCCATCTTTCCTGGAAATGATTTATTCCACTTTACCTGATCTCGACATTTAATAATTCACACACACAATCTACTCTATTATGCTACCTCCTAAATAAGCAATAACAATTACATCACAAAATTCAGTGCAAATCATTTCTTTAAGTGAAATGGGGCAGATTTCATGATTTACTGGTTACTTAAGATACATGATGTGAGTACATTAAAATGACCAAATTGGTTTGATTAGTTTCAACTTATCGTTTTTTTCCTCTGATATCATCATCTCCACCAACACAATACTGCCATTACCCTTGTCACCTCTACAATCTCTTTTGATTTTCTATCTTCCTGTTTGGCTACTGGCTGCAATTTCTAAACAGATAAACCCTATCAGGCAAGTTCTTTCTCTTAGTCACTGATGGATTTGTAAATGTAGTAATTAACCTTAAGAACTCAAGGCTGTTCACTCCCGGGCTCACAAGTAACTAAAAGCCCTTGGATGGCAAAATCACTGACAGTGAATTTTTCAGCATAAAAATAGGAACTCCCACAAAAATGTTTCTTTATCTGTGAAAACTTGCCCCTACAGTTCTGTGGATGGCTGCCAAAAATGGGGAACTGAACTAAAATATTTGGCTTGTAGCTTCATGTATCCATAGCTTTACTACTAAAAACACAACTTCAAAGGCTGTGGTAACAGAAGGAAGGAAGCGGCAAGTTAGGTTTAAATTAGGTAATAGGGAGGCTCGTTCTTTCCTGACTTGTTTTGTACTAGCACTAGTAAGCATTCCCATGGCATTTAGAATACCCATTCTCTACCCAAGAGCAATTTACTCACCTGTGAAAATGGTCCCGTTCCAAAAAAACAAAAATAAGTGAATCACAGAAAAATAGTAAGGATGAGAATTAGAGATTTTTCACCAGCTGGATTCCATGGCATCCGCTGAATGCTTGGTGCTGTGGAGAATGTGAAGATGAAGGAGACCCAGTCCCTGCCTTTCATGAGCTCACCATCTGGTTTGGGAGACCAACACTCCCCTAACTAGGTATGACCCCAGAGAGACAAACTGCTCTGGCAAGAGCTGGAAAGATGGTGAAGAGCAATGGAAGCTGGAAAGACCTGGGAAAGGTTTATGTAAGAAGTAGAATTCAATATGGCTTTTAAAGTGCTAGCAAGATTCTGAAACTCAGAGATGGGCAATTTCAGCGTTGAAATGTGCAAGATACAAAAGTGGGATACTGCAGGGCCCTTTCAAGAAATGGAATTAAGCCAGTAACGCTAGATCCTGGTAGGGGGGAGGAAAACTGGGAAGGTGAGTCAAATTATGGAGAGCTGTGAACTCCTGGTGAGAAGTTATTTCATTCTATACAGAAAGGTGTTTAAATTCTAGATCACAATCCTACATCCAAGGCACAGGAATGTTTTGCATAATTCAAAGGACTCTCTTTGGAGCTTATCCAATTTATTCTTTTTAGAGATTAAAAACACCTTGAAGTCCAGCACTGAACTTTATTTACCTTTGTTATTTTCTCGGCACCTAGAAGGTGTCTGGCATATGTGAATAATTTTATAAATGGATGAATACATTCTAATACAAAGCACTGTAGAGGGAAACACAGTTCTTATGTTTATGTTCTAAATATATATAATACTTAACTTCATTTTCAGTTTTGTAACCTAAATTAATTCTCATATGTGTGTAGCAGTTTATGGGTTACCATCCTCCATTTACATTATAAACTACTAACCGTCTCCCGTAGTTTTTGCTGACATAAGGTGGTAAAAGCTAGCTTATAAATCAAAAAGAAAAGTTGTTCATATTAATAATATTGAAATGGTCCTATTTTCTATATGGCCCATGGCAGGGCCTAAAATAGAACCATAAAAGGGTACTTGTCACTGTTTATTACCTCACTTCAAGGACTAGTGTAGAACATCTCATTTTCTGCTTTCATAAAACAAAACAAACAAAAAAAACAACAAACAACATTTCTACAATCTACAGAGCCAAACCACAATCTACCATGGCCCTCCTGGGTTTTAAGATTACATGCGCATTTCTTTATTCATGTGTAAAACTGCCTTTCTGCAATCTGCTGAACTGCATACTTGCTGGTCAGTTACCTTGGCAACTCTGCAGTAAAGCCCGCTTCACTGTAAGTATAGTATGCCATTCACTTTGAGAAAAACATGATACAGATGTATGACACACTCATCATCTAGAAATGGAAAATGACTATGCCACTATGTTTTGTTTGTGAAATAATACTTCCTTTCTGTAGCATCAGTTTAAATTATGGGCACCCACAGCACATTTTAGAGAAGTGCCCTTTACCTTACCCTTCCCATTTGTTACTTACAAAAACAAACAGCTCTTCAACAGAGGCTATTTGGGCAGTATTTACACCTAGCTTCCTTTCAAAAGCAACAAAGTGACACAGAGAATTCAGACTTATGGGCTCTTGTTCTAAACATGAGCGATATAAACAACACTGATAGGATTTGCACTAACACCAAAAAAGTCTGTTACTTAACAGTGAACACATGTTGCACTCACGTATGTCCAGGTAGTACTCACAAACAGCAAGCTTGACGCATATTTTTTTTCCCTAAAAGGAAGTCTTGAAAATGAAATTGAAACACTTTAAGAATCTCTGAAATACACATCTCTGAAAAAAAATCTCTGAAGAGTCTCTGAAATATACAAGCATACAGTGCCTTGCTAATCAAGCTGAGGTCACAGGGTCTGGCTGCTCTGTGGATTGCATGGCTCTCCAATCGTCTAGGGCTGCAAATCCATTACCTCTGCAAACACATGCCACTGGATACAAATGAAACTAGAAACCAGTCTGTGGCTAAATCCGTGCAAATCCATCACCATTAATGGGCAAAACAATTAAACCAAAAGTCCAACCCACGGGGGGTCAAAAACATCATCTTCAAACCACAAGGGTAGCTAGATTTGCAAAGATTAAAAACTGAAGACAGGTAGTCGTAAATAACGGCATTTTTTACAGGAAAAATGACATATCTGAGTTGAAAAGAGCAAAAGGATATGTGGGCAAGTGGCAGGGTTATATTTCACCCTCCCTAAATGCAGGTCCAATATTCCTTGTTAACATGCTACCAAAATCTTTCTATAAAACTGTTCCCTGTATGTTTTAATCATAAGGCATAGAAACTACAAACCATTTTCGAAAATGTATCTTATGGGACAGCAGAGAGCCAAGAACCAAGTAACAGACGGTGATGGCGGTAGCAATAAAGTGGGACCTCATGCTAGCTAAATAGCATCCTGTCTTCCTTTATTAATAGTCCATTTGGAATTCTCTCCCTATGGGAGCAACACTGAGATGAAAATATGAGGGTGCACATTTGTGTGCTTATTTACAATTACTTAAAAACAAAAGCAAATCTGTATGTGTTTAGTAAACATCAAATTTTGAAAGGGTTTGGTGGTGCATTGCTAACGAATCTAGAGCATAACACTTCACAATTATCACAATGATTTTTTTAATGGCATATGCACGTGCACAGGCACATACAAAGTCCACTCTCTACAAGAGTCCGGAGAACCCCTATCAGCCCTTTTTCTGCATCAAGAACAAGGACATGACTATAAACTGGCTGCTGAGTGTGACACCCTACAAGTCTCAGGTAGATTTAAGTCTTAAAGTCTCTCCTCTGAAGTCATAAAGGATTGTCAGTATTCACGTCAAGGTGATCTCTCTCTCATAGATGCTTTATCAACAAATTAATCACTTTAAAAGGTCCACTTACATCATCATTTTCTAATTTTTGCAGTTTGAGAGAATACAGTAAAATCTCAGTTTAGCAGGAACCCCAATGAAGGAAACATTTTAGAGACCTGAGTTTTCTAAAGTACTCAGCAGTCGATCCTTCTTCATTATGGCACAAGATCATCATTTGGCACATCAATTATTGCACTTCCCTCTATAATACAGTCATGCTCTTATGGACTGTTTGGTTGCCTTGTCATTTACCGATCCCAGTAGCACTAGCGGGTCACCGTTTGCTAATGCTTTTTATGGTTGTGTGTTTTATAGATTTTCTGTTTTCTCATCTGTAGACACGTTGTCAGCCGTCACTTCTCATTGCTATCCATATGTTTCCTGTAACAGCTCCTCTATCCCTTCTAATTTGCTGCTATTAATCCGCTGCAGGTTTAGAAACGAGGCTACCAAGTGAGGTGGGACTGCATGTTAAAGTAAGAACCAATTTGTACTGTCTTAACGCACGCAGGGCTCTGCCAGGTGTGAAAAACAGGAGCCTGCGTTTGCTGCATCTATTCTTGCTACCCAGAGACCCTTTTGTGGCGTATTTCCTGATTCTTAGTTGACACAGTATACTTCTGAAAGTCTTACTATAATTGGGAGACAGCCATTACTTGAGGAGGTGGCAACATAAACTCTATGTATTAAATGCATTCAGAAATAAATAAGTGTACCACAGAAAGTCTTAATTCAACCCATATGTTACGTAAACAAACTACCAAATCAAAAGGAGGGGATTTAATGTGCTGTATAAAATAATTTCTTACATATTTGATGTGTGGGAAATATACTGCATAATTTAAACGAAGAGATCTATTGATTAAGTGATCTATTAACCTTAGCAATAGCTAAATCAGCCTAAGAACATAACACACTAAAATAAGTAATTTATTAATAAGAAACTGAAGCCCATTTCCAAAAGCATTTCAATTTTGTTAATTTGCCTCTCGTGTTCAGAGAGTTTTAAGACGTAAGCTACTCATTGGGAAACATGACAAGGGTGCTTTAACTGAGTGCAAATTAGTTAAATAAGACAGTGCATATTTTCCAACTGTTCATAGTATTGCCTTAATAGTAAGTATTATTTGAAAAAAATTTGGATAAGAATGATGAAGACGACTTTTAAATATGTTTAAAATACAAAGATAATACTGAATAGCCACTTATCCGGTACAGCTTTTAAAATAAACTTTTGCCTAAGCAACTAGGTATCCCAATTCCTTAAAATCCTATTTACAGAAGAGACACCACGTCTCTGCTAAAGAATTGGAGTATTATTAAAAAGAAAGTTACACAAAAAATACAATTGCTGAAAACTTATTTTACTATATGATCATCTCTGATAATTAGAAACTGTAAGTACGGACAGAAAAAAAATAAGACTTGACTTCTCTTTTATAGTTTTAATAGCTAAAAGCTCTTTATGACACTCAGAGCCCCTGTATACACAGCACTCCAAGAAGCTGCTACCAATTAATGGGAGTTGATTATAAGAGATGAATTCCATTTGATATCTCTGCACCAAGAGAACTCATTTCAGGGTTTTCAGAGCTTGATATATTTATGGTTTCCTTCCTAATTTATTTTTCAATGTGTTATTTCTATAGTCTAATTGAAATTTAATTACTAGACCAGATAATGCCTGTAGAAAAATAGTTTGAAAGGCATCAATATGCAGCCAGGTACACAACCTGTTTTGGTTTTGTTTTTTTTTTTCCTCTTTAAAATTTACCCTGTGTTTTATCAATCCAGCTTTATAAATCTTGGCTTAGAGTCAAAAGCTTTTCTCGGCAGTCTGCCCTTCACCCCTTAAGTTTACTCAGCATCAAAGTACCGAAGGCCATTCATTGGGCAGTGGTCAGCTATTGTTTTATTTCAGTCACAGATAGTCCACACCTGGGCTGTAGAGCTCATCATGGGGAAGGCATTAAATTGCCTTTTAAAACTTCACTCCTCTAAGAGATAGGACCACTTTTCTCTACATGAGGTAGAAAAGAAACCACTACTTGGATCTTTTTCTACAAGAAGCAGAAAGGTTACTTTGTGAGATTCCCCTCCCCGCAACCAAAGCCACTTACTAAAACCATTTTTCTACACTAGAGTTAAATATCCTGATTTTTCCATAGAATGATCATGTGTTTGTTTCGTTTTGTTGTTTTTTTCTTAAATGTCGGCTGGAAAGTGGTTGCAAACCATTTTTAATTGGTAATCAATAAACTTGGTCTCATAGAACACTGCAATTGAAAGGGGCTTTAGATGTCATCCTGTCAGGGCGTGCCAAATAACTTTCTCTACTAAGAGACAAATCATTGCATTACTTCCTGCTTGGATATGGCCTCAGCATTCTACTCAATCCAGGATTCCTGACAGATAACATCAATTGGAGTTTGCATGCAAAAAATCAAGTTCAGTCCTTCATTTTATAGTTAACAAAACTGAACCCAGAGAGGCTGAATGACAGGTTCAAGCTTACAGGACTAGGAAGAGGAAGAGCCAGGACTTGAACCCAGGGTAGTTACGTATTTTGTTGATTTGCTAACATGAGGTAATACATTTGGTGGCTGTCCATTACATTATTACAACCCACTAAAGTAAACTCATTACTCTCTCTGTAAGATATTTTAATAATGCAGAACTATAATGATAGGATTTAAATTAGAGGAGGAGACCAGGAAGGTAGAAGCTAAAGAATGAGTTCAAGAGAAACTGAGGAAATAAGAGAATGCGATAATCTGAACTGGTTACCTCAAGATGTATTGATCATTTCGATTTTGAGAACTACAGTTATGGCTCAGGTTCCAAGGAGAAAATCAGTTTGAGGTCCAGAGGGAGCATGAAATTTGAAAAAGGAAGAGATGGAGATTCTAGAGAATGCTATGGTAAAGGCCTTGGAATACATTTCACTAAGAAGAGCACCATAGCTGAGCCTGACAGCCGGTTAGAGAGCACCTTTATGCAAAATCGAATAGGAATGGAGGGACACGCTTAAAGAGGACAGAAATTCTAGGGATCAACGTTAAAAACAAGAAACTGAAGAAAAGGGAAAGACTGCAATTTAGTGCAAAATAGTGTGAAGTCCAGAGGAAGCGTCTTTAGTGATCTCGTGTGAGGCAGCAGGAATCACGGCAGGTCCCAAATCCCTGGGAGATGACAGAAGTAAATTGCAGATGGCAATACTGAGGGCCATCTGGGGCCATAATTGGTAAGATTAGAAAACGGGAAGGGGCTTCCCTGGTGGTGCAGTGGTTAAGAATCTGCCTGCCAATGCAGGGGACACGGGTTCGAGCCCTGGTCCGGGAAGATACCACATGCCATGGAACAACTAAGTCCGTGGCCACAACTACTGAGCCTGCGCTCTAGAGCCCGCGAGCCACAACTACCGAGGCCGCGTGCCACACAGCTACTGAAGCCCATGCGACAAGAGCCCGGGCTCATCAACACAATGAGAAGCCCTTGCGCTGCAATGAAGAGTAGCCCCGCTCGCCGCAACTAGAGAAAGCCTGTGCGCAGCAACGAAGACCCAACACAACCAAAAATAAATAAAATAAAATAAAAAGAAAACAGGAATAGTGGATGTGCCGAAGAAGCCGAAGGCCCTCAGCCTGATTAAGGAGCAGCCCAGATAAGGTAGCCGGGGGTGATTCCCTTGAAGGAAACAGAGAAAATCCCTTGAGAATATCTAAGGAGGGTGTGGGGAAAGGACTGTGGGATGATGCGCTTAGATCCTAGAACAGGTGAGTCTAGTGCTTTTGAAAACAACTTTTTGTGAACTTTTCATGAGAGTTTACTGTTATAAAACTCTTTTCTTTTATATTAGAGATGAAAATTCCTTAAAAATGCAGAGGTGTTTGTGGGTTTGTTTCAAAGACAGCAGAGTAGAAGAGATGCTGGGAGCCTTGGTCCTACTGTGAAACAGATCTGGGAGTAGAAGATTCTAGCTGAGGAATAATTTGATGCTAGCTGGAAAAAAGTCAGTGACCCCCCAACTCAGAAATGTAAGAAGAAAATGAGGTAAGCCAGGAATCACTCCTACAAGATACCTAGAAAGTTTTATATGGCAGTAAGGCCATTTTATTACATAAAATTACTGCTCTTTTCAAAATATTTTAAAACTGTTGTTTTTTTTAATAGATATTCTGGTTACCCCAAAGTTATGGAGACTAGGCTACTGTTCTGCTAATGTTCTGTTCATGACCACATATAGCCCAAATTGTGTGTGGGGTTGGGGGGGGGGAGGGTACGGTTAAGAGGGATTATAAAGACAAGTAATCCAGAAATATTAAGTGAAAGCTCATATTGATAACTGATATTTTTAAAACAACTAATCTTTTGGTTATTAAGTGAGTCTTTTTCTCCCTGATGAAATGCATTATTTCAAAGGTGCTGACATATTGCTAATGAACACATTTAAGATAGGGAAGAAAAATTTAGAAGGACAATCAATCATTCAAGGGTCAGGCTATCTTTTCCATAGAAAACAAATGCCATCTAATTAGTTAACAGCAAACATACCAATTTGGTTTTGCAACAAAAATCATTCAAAAAATCATCCACAACTAGCCAAAATATTTTATGACCATTTTTCTAAGGTTATGTAAATACTGTTTTTAAACGATTTATGTTAAATGTACTTCTTAATGTTTTTCAATGTTATAAGTAAATTGTTATAATAACCACACTGGGACAATTTTCATAAGTGGCAAGCTAGTGACTGGATAAGGGGCAACAATAGGTTAAAAACAAGAATTATTTTTGGTTAAAAAAAAGGGAAAACTACAGCAAAGGAAAAAAACTTGGAGAATAATGGATTAAGAACACAGAGGATCAGAAGCTTTAGAAGATTAGGAAAACAAAATTTGATTTTTTTCAGACTGACTTATCAAAAAAAAAAAAAAAAGTCCACACATGACTGAAAAAGCAAAAGGACTATTGGAAGCGGACATTTAATTGACTCCCCAAAAGGATTTAGATTTACAACCTAAACTCACCATCTTTCTTCCCAGCAGTCATTTTTCTGCTGATAATAAAATTGTTGGCCTGTTTGGTCTTCCAGTTAACTGTTCCACTTATGCCATCAGCACAGCTTAATAAAAAAGCTTTTCAGAATAAAACAAATGCACAAAAAATGAAATTAATGTCAAATTAAAATGACTATCACAAATCACCTACTACGTATTAACTGGTATCAGATTCCTTCCAGCCCCAGTGAGCTGTTTAATTCCATTCAATAAATATCTGTTGCATGTCAATACAAGGAATATATGGGGATACAAAGTAAAGACACAGTTCCTGCCCTCCAAGGAGCTTACAATCTATAGGGACTGATAATTCATGTACCAAAATATATATGTAATGTATAATATAGTGTATACACATAGCAATTACACATATACACACAGTGGTAGAAAGCATAGCTGCTACAATAGCACTGAGAGGGGAAGCAATTTTCCCCGGCTTGGAATGTTGTGGTAAGTTTAAAACGTCTTCGAAATTTACAGTTGAGTTTTGGAAACATTACACTGGCAGCAATGAACAGAATCAGGGTCAGTGGATACTAAATAGGGGGTTATCTCTGGAGTGTAGAGTAGCAGTCAGCCCATAATCAGCGGTTGAAGAAAGGAAGAGTAAAGGTGGGGCCAGTTACAAGACATCATGGGAGAGAATACTGACAGTACTTCTCAAATTGCTGGATGTGGGCTAAAAAAAGAATAATGGCTTTGAAGTTTTGACCCAGGATGACGCAGAACAGTGATGTATTAGGAATGCCAAAAAAGAGTCCATTTCAGTAGAAAGATGACAAATGTATTTGGGGATATGTTAAATGTGGGGTACCAGTTGGATATCCAGGTGAAACCACCTAAGAAGAAGATGGAAATAGAGCTCTGGTTCACAGGAGAATCTAAGGCAAGCTTTGGATGCAGATTTGAAGTTCATCACCAGAGAAATGATTATTGAAGCCAAAGCCCCAGTGCAATTCCTTAAAGAGATCATGCTCTCAGGTAACACGCATTAGACTGTCAGGAACAAAATGATCTGGAGAAGATACACATTCACGTTCTTGACCTATTTGCCTATACTATTTCCAATCATCCAAACTACCAATCTTACTGCTTACTCTCCCATTTTTCATCCTTATCTTCCAGACTTGATATTTGGGTACCATTTTCCTAACTACAACATTGGGTCACCATCTCATTCTCCCTTCCTCTAGCCATCTCAGATATGTTCCCTTTGAGTTCAGCTCAGTTCCCAAATCCCCCAGGGTGTACCCCGTAGTTTTGTCCTAGCTTCCGGGGTTGCAATATATAGCAAGAAGGAATGCACGAAAAGTGGGAGGGACAACAAAGGCAGAAGAACATGTTAATAAATACATTTACATAGCAAAAACCAGAGGATAATTCAGCAAAGAAATAAGAGACAAGGCGGTCAGAGAGGTTGGACCACTGAGCCTGAAGTGTCATATACATATGTCAACGGAAGAGTTGTCAAAAAGGAGAGTGTGATCAACATCCTCACTTACTGCAAAAAGGTCAAAGCGGATGAGAGCTCAGAAAAGATTGCTAGATGTGAAAGGGGAGAAGTTATTGGTGACTCCTTGAAAGTGGAGTTCCAATAAAGTGGTAAGAGTAGAAGCCAGACAGCAAAAGGCCAAGACGTAGATGCAACAAACAGAGTTAATCTTTTAAGAACACTGGCCAGAAGAGGGAAGCAAAGAGATAAGATGATATGGCAGACTGCGGAGCAGCAAGGTAGAGAAAAAGATTGTTTATTTTCGCGTAGGGAAACAAATTTTGTTTATAAGCTGAGGAAAAGACATAAGGAGAGAGAAAGAGACTAGGTGTAATGAAAAGGAACATAAATGATGAGACACAATCCCAGAAAAACTAGAATGGGTGGGACCAAGCAGAAACATACAATATACATGTATTTGTATATTGTACAGCATATACAAAACATATATGCTTTATACAAGCATATAAAGAAAATACTTCATGAATCAGAGAGTAAGGACAAGTGAAGAGAGAAACACTTGTTGGGGTACAGGACACCTAATGTTGAAAGAGCTCCTCACCCTAGTAAATCAGAGGTGAAATGGTTATTTCCTTCTCAAACTGAATTCTGAGTAAAATTCTAAACTTAAACTAAATTATGAGAAATACCAAGTCCCCTTCCAAAATGAAAAAAAGAATACAACTCAAAACCCAAGTTATTAAAAATAAACCATCAAACAAAACCTCAGGTGATCATTTCAGTGATACCTGGGAGTGGAAATCAAAGGCCTTAGCACCCCAAGTGAATAAATGAGTTGGTTGGTATTGAATTTTTAAATTATGTAAACCTAAGTATACTAATTTTATATCTACTAAAAGACCAATCTTATGGCTGATTCACCTAATAAATGGTTGATTCACCTAAGAACTGAAGTTATGTCCTTTTAAATCTAGATGAAGAATACAGTAGTCATTTCCTAAATAATTTAAGCTGAAATGGATCAGAAATGTTCATGGCCTCTTGTGGCAAAATATCCCACCTCCAAGGGTTTTCCTAATTGCTGGGTTCCAAAGGCAACATGCTAGTTACATAAGAATCCCCTGGGCAGCTCTCTAAAAATACATATTCTCACACACCCCAAAAACTACAAAATAAAAAAATTTAAAACACATATTCATGACTCCACCATGGAGAATCTAGGTAGGCGGGTTACACAGTTTCATCAGGTGATTCTCACACACAAATACGAACTCTAGAAGACCAACAGAAGACCTACAGAACCCAAGGGTATATAGGATATTCAACCAAGTCACATCAAATGTGACAAACGTAGGGCTAACCTTATAACTGAAAACTTTACTCTCTCTTATCCCCAACTGGCCCACAGATGCAGCCAATTTGCAAGAACATGAAAGTCACTGCTGTACAGTGGGAAATCTCAACCTAGAAAGACAGGAAGCAAGTGGCCAAATTCTTCTCTACAACTCTTCAAAAAACAATGTATATATGTGGACCTGACAAGCAACATTTACACTTAAATCCATCACATCACCTGGTCCTGAGCAAGGTGCTTTCATGCAGACTGTCTAGTTCAATCCATACAAAACCAAGAGATCTGTTAACATGTCTGAATATTATAGAGGCTTCATCGAACAGCAGAATGGAGTAAACCCTGCAGGCAAGCAGGCAAGCAGGCACGCTTCAGAATCCTCCACTTTTCCATGGATTGGGGAGTTACCATAAAGAAAGAAGGGCTTGGGTGTCCAGACAGCACCCCTTTTGTTCCTTCCTTTATTCTAGCCCAGTGGTTCTCAGACCATGCTGTACATAAGAATTATTGTTCAGTTATACACACAAAACTACACATAATGTACTTCATAGGTAATTTAAAGGATTTACTAGGGTAACTTAAGTCTACGGAATTTTTTGCCTTATACTCTGGCTTTTAGAACCTCAGTAACCCATAAGATTTAATGTCACTGCACATCCTTGCCGGGTGAACCAACGTATCATTGCTCATGCTTTCCAGGTCCTGTGTAAGTGCAGCCTACTTGGCTTTTACAGACAAGAATTTCAAAATTCAAAAGACAAATGTGATTGGTGCCTCAGTTGTTAAAAAATAGAGGCAGGGTAAAATAGTTTAAACACATCTCACAGATATAGCTCTGTTTTAAGGCTGGCATTGCTTTGAGCATATTCAATTTTTTTAAGTTTATATTGATCCTTCTAAAGTCCTACTTCGACCACAGGAGACCACAGTCCAATAAATCTAAATAAAAAGACAACTTTTTACTGCTCTACTCACCAGACAATGTCAATAAAGGCAAGACACAACACCACGGATAATGTGTCTGCTTAAACATTCAAGTCCCACACCTTGAGGGAGAAATCTCAGTAACACTGAAATATCTATTTTTCACTGCGTGTCCAAGATCATGGATCCACTTAGCTAACTTCTTGTAAAGAAAATTATTGTAATCTGTACATTGACAAATGCAGAATACTCATTGGGGAAAAAAAGGTAGTATTTTAATAAGTTTAATTTTCATTAGAAAAGGAGCACACCATTTTTTTTCTGTGAGAACAAATTTCCTTAGGATGGGAAAACATGACTCAATTTTTGAAACTATTTACTCTATACATTACTTTTCAAGATTAAATCTAGTGTGTAAAAAAATAAAGTCAGCCTGTATAGACTGATTCTTGGACTCCTTCCAAAGATAACGGACCATCCTCAGAAATCCTGAAAGAACTCCACTGTGCTCATTGGGTTCATGATAATCTATGCTACGTTTGTACCTGGATATGAGTTTTGCTCTAATTCATAAACACAAAGGCAAAGAATAATATGAATCTTGTGTTTACAGAGCCCAGACTAAGAAGACAGTCACACAATTAGCTAGCAAAGCATGGCATACAATTTAACCAATTCCTCAATGCTCCCTCTCAAAACTCATCAAAGCCCGAATTAATCCAATGGTGACTGGCATGCCCTTAAATTCCCTAGAAACCATTCAATCCTTAAAGTTTGTCTTAAGGTTCCATGATTCATGCGGAGTCTTGTAGCAGCATGACTGCATCTCATCTGGCCTGGGGCAAACACTCTCTGAAGAGACATGACTCTCCCAAACCTGAATAATTTGCTGACTTAGTGAGGAAGGGTTTGCTATTTAATAAAAGCAATTGAAGAGCTGTGAATAGTGACTGATTGCTGATGAGCTAATCAAAATGTCAAGGGATAGAAATAATAAATAATAATTTAGTCTGACATCACTGTCCAAGTAAATAGCAGAATATGCCAGATGAAATATAATCTGATTAACACACTCACCTTAGAACCAAACTGTCAAGTCTTTCTCTTGTTCTCTGTTTCATCTGTCTCTTTTCCTATTTCACTCAAAGGGGACAAAGACTTCGTTTTCATAAATAGGATAGACAGCTCATGTCGCCTACATCTCTTCCCTTCTCTTATCATTCCCCATGTCATTATGTCTCTCCCTTGCCCTCTACATTTTCTCTTCCCTTTTCTATGCAACTATCCTTAATACTTTTAAAATTGTCTCTTATGCTGAAATCTTGTTTTTATATTTTTCTCTCTAAAAAT